TCGATGCCTCCGACTTCGGCGACGGGAGAAGAACGACGACCGACACCGAGGCTTCCAACAGACAGGCGAAGCACCACGGAGGAGAGATCAGCACAGCAGGGGCAGCTGCGCGCCCGGCTACCGACCCGGCAAGGCCTGGTGCGGGAGCTGCCGTGGCTGCCACAAGATGCAGGAGCAGGAGGGAGGAGAGGGACAGGGGCAGGAGCGGGGAGCTCGAGTGCGATCGTGCACTCGCCATCGCTCGGACGTCCATTTCCTGTGTTTTTTTTCGGTTTCGTGCGTGGTTCTTCTGCCACAGATGATCAGGGATGCTCCTCGATGGTTCTTGCCGAGAAAGAAATGCACACGTCCGAGCGATGCCAGGTGCAAGGTCTGCAACAACATCAGTGCCTCACATGGGACGCAAGGTGGCGCGACGCGCAGTGAGCACAACCACCCCATGAGCAACACGCAGGCCTCGAACAGAACGCATCTCAACCCGCAACAGGCAGAGCGTCAATCATATCGTATAGAAATGCGGAGGGAGGCGGGAAGAACGCAGACATTCCGTAAACAACACGCGCACCATGGCAGCGAATCCAGCCGCCCACAAAGCCGCGCCCGATTTAAATCCGAGCTCTCCCGAGCCAGCGCGCAAACGCAGAGAAACCGAGCAGCTGGACAGACCACGCTGGCCCCGGAAATAACCGCACAAACTGACATCAGCAACGCCGCGCCAATTGAAGATTGTCATGACCTGGAGCAGAGGGGGAGGGGAAGGTCACGACATTCGCCGACCCCAAGGGCCAGGGGCATGCCAAAATCTCTGGCAACAAACTTACAATATTGAAGGGGCCCAGGGACACACACACTCACACACAATACAACAAACACAAACACACGCACACACAAACACACACACACAAACACACACACACACATAAAATCACACACAAAATCACACACGAACATACACAAGCACACACACAAACACACAAACACACAAACACACACACACAAACACAAACACACACACACACGCACACACGCACACACGCACACACGGACACAAACACAACACACAGACACACACAGACACACACACAGACACACACACACACAGACACACACATACATACAGAAATACACACTTTTCTAGTTTTTCGTCATCCCCCCGCCTCCCAAATTTTCCCATATTTCCTTGGGGATCGACGATTCACCGTGTCTGTGTGTTTTTCCCCTCCTGAAGTATTTCTAATTCACACGTGCAGGGCGGAACCCTGGGGGCATGTGGGCGAAAAATGCCCCGGGGGACTCCTGCAAAGGATGCCGGACCTCTTGGGGACTGTTTTCAGAGCCTACCAGAGCCTCCAGGACCGCTCCAAGGGACCCCAAGGGAACTCCAAGATGGCCCAAGAGTCGGGATCAAGGGGTGGCCCTCGGATGGCCCCAAGAGGCTTTGAGATAGCCGCAAGATGGTCCAAGAAAACTCAATGAGCGCCCCAGGAGCTGAACTTCAACCGTTTCCCTATGGTGTTTGAAAAATTGTGGCGTTACCGCCTTTTCGGACTCCAGACTACCAAAGGTCGCCCCAAGACACCAAGAGGCTCCGAGGACGGCCCCACGACGGCCCAAGAGGGCCCCAAGATGGTCAAAGAGGCCTCCCAGGCGGGCTCCAGAGGCCCCCAACAAAGCCCGAAGAAGGGACTCCGAACTGCCGTTTGGAGCCTTTTCCCCCCGAGGAGGAGGAGGAGGAGGAGGAAGTGGATGAGGAGGAGGAAGTGGAGGAGGAGGAGGAGGATGAGGAAGTGGATGATGATGAGGAGGAGGAGGAAGTGGATCGACCGTACCTGAGGCGAGCCAGTTCGCACGCACCGTCAGCCGCATTAAATGTCAGTGGCGTGCTGTGCTGCTGCGAAAGCGGCTCGCTGTTGGCTTGGCGTGAGCTGGTCCCCATGGGTCACCGCAGCTTTCGCCTTGTGATACGTATGGAATGCCAACACGGCCAAACGCAGCGCATCAGCACGAGAGAACGTGCAGCTCTCACAGTTGTATTCGCTATCAGCCGCTAGGCCAAGGAAAGTCAGTGGGTTGAGGGGGAGGCCGAGGAACGGAGGACGGGGCAAGAGAGGTAGTGAGCAATGGAGTCGGGCTGAGCGCACCCGAAAAGGCAGTTGACGGGTCCACACACGTGGACTCTATGGCTAGTTGTCCAGCCGCCTGCGAGGGTCTTAAGGATCGACCATTGCCAGGCAGGCTTGAATTTCTTGATCGTTGCGAGACAGTCCCCCCGCCGCTCCGCCACCCCGCCCACGATGTTGCCAGCAAGGCCCCAAGCGCTCAGACGCTTGGGGATCGTCACTTCGAATTTGCTGGGGTAGAGATTGAGGCGGAGGAAGGAGGAGACAGCACGTTGAAGTTTGGGCTTCTTGCCCACCGCTCGTGCCGCACGGGTTTCCATGCGACCTGCCGCCTGCGAAGCTTTCCACTTGACGATCGGAATGCCTCGGCGCGGCGGGCGATTCACTAGATCAGCAAAACGCTGGGCGATCCCTTGCTTTTGGATCCAGCAGGGGGCGCTCCACTCTCCTTTGAGCCAGCCGACGACGGTGCAGGTTAGCGCCGCCGTTTCGCGCCACTTGTCGAGCTCTGCTGCCCAATCGGTTATCGTGAGAGTGGAGCAGCGCCACATACTAGCCGCACCTAGGATCAGAGCGGACTGCGGGGCCACTAAACCGTGCCCCGTGAACGAGAAAACATCTGCTTTACGAAACGTGCTGGGCGGAAGCCGAAGGACTTTGTGGATGGCATATTTTTTCCTTCAGGAGGGCTTCGCGATCCATCGGGAAAAGCTGGGCAAGGTAGCTTAAAGTAGATAACGCTGTACTATTGTATAGCAGCAGACTGACGCTAGTGGGGCTCTCGGTTTTGGGGATGTCAAACGAACGAGACCACCACTTGGCGACCGCTTCCTTCCAGACAAGCGCCTCCGAAGCCCCAGGGCCGAACTGGACCCCAAGGTATTTGGTGAAGGAAGCGATCTTCATGCTGGCCCACTGGGGAATATGCTCACGCAGGAACCCCCGAATTCGTGCTACGACTGCATCTGAGAGCTCCGTCCAAGGAGGGACGATGACAGTTTTGGAGGTCTGGAGGCGGAGCTTGGCAAGCTCCTCTGCATCCTGAAAGACTGGAGCGACGCGACAAAGGTCCTGGAGTCTGGGTTGAGCTAGGCCTGTGTCGTCCGCGCACCCACCCACCTCCCCACGCCAGTCCCCAAGAGAAGGATCAGCGGCTTGCTCAACCAGACATCTCAGGATGGGGTCCATTGCTAGTGCCCAGACCGAGCCTGAAAGGGGGCACCCTTGCATGACTCCAGACTGCAGGTAAAAGAGAAATTGTTTGGATCCCTGGACAGGGGCGAATCCGCGGGGCCCGAAATACAGGGAGCCGATGAATTTCTGGTAGCCTTGCGGAAGGCCTGACCGAGCTAAAACCGCCCAAAGCCAGTCGTGTCCGAGACTTGGGAAGGCTGCAGCTATGTCGAATGCGACAAACACTGGGGCGTGTACGTCCGCATTCGGCTGTACACTCATTCTACGCGCTGCGCTATCTAAACGAATGATGTTCCCGACAAAGTTGCGGCCAGGAACAAAACCTTGCTGGGCCACATGGGTCCGAGACTGGACCAGGGCCTTGATTCTATGGTTGGCCGCAGAGGCCAAAATCTTGGAGTCCGACTTACGTAGCGACAGCGGCCGAATTTGAGAGGGCTTTCTGATGCACTCATATGCATCTAGGGGCTCAGAACCTTTGGGAAGGAAAGCGAACGGGGAATCGTTCAGATCCTCGGGGACGTAGTCACCTGCGAAGAGGTGCAGCATCAGGCCGTGGAGGGTGCACAACTGTTCCTCTGCTACCATCCATGCACGATATGGTAACCTATCGGGACCTGGCGAAGAGTGACGAACACGTTTGAGGGTAGCCCGGAGATCTTCAACACTCGGGATCGGGATCGGGACCTCGGGGACCGCCGGGTAGACTCTGTCCAGGTGGGCCTCGATTTTGTTTTTGTCGGCTGAGTTGTAGCGGAAAACCTTCCCCCAGTAGGCGGCGAGAGCTTCGTGAGCTTCGGTGGGGCCTCGAACGACAGGGGCCTCGGGATTCTCTAGAGAGTGTTCTGGACGGATACCTGCCAGCACCATCCTGCGGCCCCTCGGTTTCCAGAGGAAGGCCCTGCGGCGACCAGCACGAACTTGGCGAAAATGCGCTTCAGCTGCAGGTTGGTCTCCAGCTCGTTGCGCAGCTTGTGCGGCTTGGGCAGCACGATGCTGCATGGCCTCCAGCTCCGCGGAGTGCGACGAGCGGAAGAGGTTGCGAAAGACGTCCGCATTCTGGAGCCTGACCCCATCCTCATCGATGTGAAGAAAGCGCTTGCCATCCTCGGTGGTTGATACCAGAAGAGCTGCTTGCCGTAGGTCCTGCTTCTACACGGCTCTTGAAATACTGCGAAGTGTAATGTTGCGGCCACCTCGTGCACGTTTGTCGCCAGGTCGATATGGTAGCCGCTGGAGCTCATCTCGGGTTTGACGAGCGGCCTCACTCATGAGCTGTTTCATGTACGTCCACTTCAGCACAGGCGAGAACCTTTCCAAGTCACTCGCGTTGATGAGGCTGTCGAGTATGGTCTTGTACCGCTCGTCCGTGAAGACCGCATCTGGGATGCGCTGCGCCTCCTCTGGAATGTTCTGCTTGGCTCTGAAGGTGGCGTGGATGATGGAGTGGTCGCTCAAGCGCGACTGGGCCATTTCCACTGGGTCCATGGCAACAGAGTGATGGATGTCCGTGGCGATCAGGTAGTGCTCTGGCGTGCTGACAAAGAGCGTATCGATGGCCGACGCGGTGTAGTGCTGCCTGCTGAAATACGTTGGGACCTCCGAGCGGATCTCCTGCATAGTGTCGAAGAGGGTTCGCCAGAAAGCTTCTGCGGGTTGGTATGTACGCAGCGTCCGTAGCCGAGCCTGATCAGGTAGCGGGTGATCATTTGACAAAGGGACGCCCTCTCGGATGTTGAAGTCACCTATCGCGAAGAACGTGCGCTCTAGGTGGTTGCTGCTTGCCCATTGAAGATTCTCCATCCATTTATTGTTGATAACAGTCTTGTCGGTCGGGGATATGTTGTAGTTGTGAACATTCATGACGCGCATCTGGTAGCGCAGCTCGGGGTGCTTGATCGACAGCTGCGCCACCCTGCCAGGGACGAGCACCTCAAAGTCGAGAGACGGTCTGGCATCTGCAGCACCAGCAGGCCACGGCACTAGGAATGCCACACCACCACGCCGCGCATTGCCAGCGCGTTCAGCATCGGGAGATTCTGATGAACTCTGTGATGACTCTTCCGCCTGAGAATGGAAGACATTGTACTTGTATGGGGAGGAAGCGACCATGACTTCAAGCTGCTGCCGAACACCATGCGTCTCCTGGATCGTGATGAGAGCGGATGCCTTCATGAATCGCTCCAGCTTGCGCAGCTTGTTCTTGCGGCGCCGCTTCTTGTAGCAACACAGGCCACGAGCATTCCACGAGACTACCTGCCCACCACTGTCTCTAGCCTGTTGGAGCCACGGGCTCCAGCGAGTGTTAAATAGACCACCGCGAAGTATATGTGGCCAGGAAGAGGTGCTGGAACTGATCTGTGATTGTGGTATTGTCGATGCCCATCTGGTGGACGACTGCGATGTTCCACCTGAGCTTTGTGGTGGCGTTGGCGTTGTCTCCAACCTCGAGAACCACAAGGGGAATTGAGCTGCAAGAGACGATGCCTTCGTCACCGACCTTTCTGAAGTAATGGTTGTCGTGCTTGTCTGCCAAGAGCTTGACCAATCGTTTTGTTTGTAGTTCTCGCCGAAGGGTTTTAGGAGACTTGTCCGCGTTGATGTATAAGGGAGTGAGCGCACCAGTAGTGTTTGGAGCCGAGAAGTTACGCCACTGACCGCCTGCTCTGAGGTTCCGTGCGAGTGAAAGACTGCGTGATGTAGCTGCTGGTCCACCAAGAACTCTGAGGAAGAAACGCCGTGCGGGTACGTCGCCGATGAGCTCCACATCGTTGGTGGAGACGCCTGCTGCATTGATCCAAGGTTCGAGAGCTCGCTTGACTTCTGAAGATTGTATAGCCGATGGTGCGCCGATTGTGTAGAGATGAGGGTCTGGTGGTCGATCCCAGACTGCCAAAGCCGCCATGTCGAAGGTAGGTAAAGTAGCTTCTGCCATTGCCAACTGCGATTGAATCCGTTCCACTTCGTGCCGCATCTGCTGCTGCTCCTGTTCCACCATGTGCGTGCGCTGGTTGAGCTCGCGGACTGAGGTGTCCATGGCGTCCAGCCTGCCTCCATGCTGCCGCACATGTCCGAGAACGAGCTGAAGTTCCCCTTGAAGAGCTTGCTGAGCGTTACGAATGATGGCCTCGGACTCGTTCTGGAGCCTGGTGGTGGCCGACTCGATCTGGGAGGTGAAGAGCTGGCTGAGACGCTGCTCCAACGAATTGTCGTCGGGCACGAATCCACCTCCGACTGGGGTAGGCATGCCACCGAGAGCGTCGCCTGCGACTGGAGTCGCTGGTGCCACTCCTGCTGCTGTTCCGCCAGGCGTGCCAGGTAGTGTAGCCGCGTCTTCTGCAGCACGTATGAAGGAAGCCACTTGAGCTGGTCCAGAAGGTCTCTGTGTTCCTGTCCAAGGGTCTTCTCGCTGTAATGCATCTTCGCCTCTGGGGTCGCCTCTGGGATCGATTGCCATGGATGCTGATGCTGCCGAAGGTCCTCCACTGCGCGCTGCCCTGCGGGTGGGTGTGGCAGCTGTGGCTGTGCCTGCTCGGCCCGCACGAGGGGGGTGAGCTCGCTGTGCAGCACCACTCTCACGCTCTCGAGGGCTTCACGTTCCGCTCGTCGTCTGTCACGATCTTGAGAAGGAGGACATTCGGGTCTATGCTTATCACTTCGTTCACCTCTATCACTGCGGGAATGGCTGCCGTCTCCTCTGTCTTTGTCTCTGCGCTCACGCTCACGTTCTTTGCGAGGCCGTCGACGCCGAGTTTTGGTGGCTGACGAAGAACTGCTGCAGCTGCTGTCACTGGATGCCATTGTGAAATACTCTGTCGTGATGGTGAAGAGAGCGAGTCGATCTGCACCGCGTTGCCGAAGAAGTCGTTGTCTATTGGGGGTCGCTTCTCGCCAGCGACCTCAGGCGTGATATGGGAGCCGTGCCAGATGACGCTGGGCAGGCTCTTCGTCAGGAGGACCTCGACTGACGGATGGAGTATGGAGGCGCACACAGCAGCAAGTACTATGGCGAGAAAGCTTGGGCGGCCGCTCGCCCCTGATTGTGGCGGCAAATCAACTGATTGATCAGATGGGAGCCTACCCCGCTGAGGCAGTGAAATGAACGCCATTTGGCCTTGAGCCAAAATGGCTACGGAGCAGGAGGAAGTGGATGAGGAGGAGGAGGACGTGGAGGAGGAGGAGGAGGAGGAGGAGGAGGATACGACGCTATAGGGAAATGTCGCGCGGAGCACTGACATACACCTTAAAGCGGGGGGGGCAATCGGCCTCCCCCAGACGTCCAAGGCGACGCCCCCCACCCACCAAGAGGATCGCGGCAGGGGGCGACGGACGACGGGCGGCGGCGGCGGCGGCAAGGGCGGTCCTGGCTGTAATCGTCGTACAGCAGGTGCGCGCGCGCGCGCGAGGGGCGCGCGCGCACGCGACACACAGACGCCGACAACGGACCACCCCGCCACTCCACCAACAAAAACAAAACGAGTTAAACGGCACCAGGACCGATCCAGGAGCCACGGCCAGAGCCCAGAAGATTTTGAAGAGGACGGGCCGAAAAAAGGGAACAACTCAATGCCCAAGGAGACGCAGCCAGGAAATTTCAGCATCGTCCACCCTGAGGGGCCTTGGTTGTGGAATGCGCCGTGAGTTCACGCGGCCTTCGTCGGCAGGATGAAACCTACCTAGAAACAAACGTCGGTTCCGCTGGGCTCGCTCGCTCATGACGAGAGGCGGTGAGCACTCCAACAGTAGGTGACTGGCCACACCTGAGCTGTAGAACCCGCATCGGATGCATAGAACAATGTGGCCTTCTGAGACCCAGCACCTATGACCTCGAGAGGCGATTGGCGGCACGATACCCGTCAACGGCAGAAATGCGGCTGGGACCGTAGTCTGCGACAGCGACGGGCGGCCTCTAGGCTGAAGCCGCTGCCGCTTTGCTTGAGGCATATCAGGCACAAAGGCTGGTCCTTCCCTGTCGGGGCATCTCGGACGACTCGGACGACTCACGACAAGAGGGCGAGAGTCAGGGGAGGGAGAGGACCGATCAATAGATTGGACAGCCTGTGCCAACTCACCAGCATCAACAGTGCGACTCGAAACGACAGGAGCGAAACTAACCCTAGCCCGCACGGAACGTTCTGACGGCGAGGCAGACCTTCTCCGAGGGGGTTCTTCACGCAGCAGCCTCTGCCGCGTCACACGGCCCACAGAGGGGCTGCGGGAGGCGGGTCGCTTCGTCCTCTCCACCCCCTCGCCCAGGAAAACACCACCCAAGGTGCAGCGAGCATTCGAGGGGAGAGGCCCAGAGAGGTCAACCTCGGTGCCTGACGAGGTCGAAACTCCCATAGGCTGCACCCCTCTGCCAGGCTGACCCTGAGTCAGGGGGGACAGAGCCTCACGAGGCTCGGAGCCAGCGTCCAAACCACCAGGAGAGAGCGAAGTCCCCCTGTGTCCACGGCTGGACGCAGCACGCGCAGGGCAAACCCATTTGGAGAGACGCTGCACCCTCTCCTCAGATCTGGCCCCCTTCTTGCAAAAATCACACCGCCAGAACTTGTCCCGAACCGGTGTGAAAACGTGTTTCACATGCGCTTCAGGCGCCCTGGAAGCTTTAGCTTTAGACCGAACTTTCATCTTCCGAGGTCGCCGAAAGGTGGCCACGCGTCCATGTGACAAGTGAGACGAGTGAGCCTGCAAAAGCCATTTGAGCACACCCCTCACAGACCTGAGGGCCATCCTCATGGAAGCGAATGCAGCCTTGCTAGCTGAGTGGAGGTCCCGCCCGCGGCAGGCGGCGAAATCGGCCCATCTGTTGGACCGTGCCTCAACGGAGTCGCCAGCTTGGTGACCCCTGACATGCGAAACTTGAATGGCCTCTCCAAGGCCGCCGAGGTCATCAAGCTTTCTCCAGATCGCCTCCCAAAGGTCGGTATTTGGTCGCCTGGGGCCGCAACAGAAACCAGGGCCCAAGACAAGGCCCTCAACCAGGCCATAAAAATCAGTATGCACATGTATGGGCAAGATGCAGACAACTAGAACCTGCAGGAAGGCATATAACTCAGACCTAGGCGAGCTCTGAATGGGTCCAGGAAGGGCTCCGTACACAAGCAACTGGATGTCACGCCTAACATGCTTCACGAATCCCCATCCCGCTCTCGTAGCCTCGGGCCAGTACCAAGCTTTTCTGCACGCACCGTCCGTGTAGATGTCCCCCGTGACGTTGTCAAGGGACCCGTATTGAATGTGCCATCGTCCACTATCATCTCGTGGGGGCACAGGCGGAAAACAAGACCGAGGTGCCATGCCTCTTGTCCAGAACCAGGAGCCAGGCGAGCGTGGCGGCAGGCCCCGACAATCAACACTACGCATTGCCACTCGCTGCTGTGCTGCACGTCCATCACACTCCCAGGAAATATGATATGAGGTGCATACATCACAATCACACGCAGGGCAGCAAGATGTGCGAGCGTATCCATGCCGATAAAGTCGATGCGGGGACCACAGCCCCCCTCCCACCAAGGCCCTCAAGAGCCCATCCTCAGACACCGTAAGCTTCCAAGGGCCTTCAGGGTCAGGTTCAGGGTCCTCCTCGGGGTCATGCGGACGATCCTTCAAGAGTCCCAATATAGGCTCCATCCAATATCCGAGAGGCTCCTTGGGGTCCATATTATCATCAGCAGGGTTTGACCTCAAACTCCATGCTTCCCACATACGGCGGACAGCAGCAGCACGAGCGAGGTCACGCACCGTCACAGGTGCATCTGTCAGAAGATCCAAACGATCTCCAATATCCGTAACGATACTAGCGGCTGAGGTCGTCCTCCAGCCAAGCGCCTGCGCAGCCAAAAGCATAGCTCCTGCTGGGCCAGCGACGTTAGCCCAAGGCTTCGCCGCTTGGAGGACACGGAAGACCTGTCGCGTCCAAGCCTTCTGCAGGGTGCTATGTTGAACACCACGGTCCCGAAACAATAAGGCCCACTGATAAACTGGTTGAACCCAGCAGGCCACTTGGGGGTCCTCATACATGGAGCCCTGGAGGCACGAAGTTAACCACGCAGAGGTAGTAGAACCTGGAGTATACCAAGTGCCCCTCATGATCCCCCTCATGGCCTCGACAAGCTGCGGCGGAGCGCCGTGGACCCCAACTCCATACTGCATGGCCGACGGAAGGGCCTGCTTAGCGAAGCGAGCGGCCAGGGACCCAGCTTTTTGAATCCGTCGAAGCCGTGGTTGACGCTTACGAGTATTGTGAATACGTTCACGGAGCCTACGATGCCGAATAGGGCGGCCTGCATTAACCTCAATCCCCAGGACTTCCAGAGCTGACTGATAGCAAAACCCGCGCCATGCCAATCGTTTGGCAATCTTCATACCAATGGCGGGCGAACTGCAAGTGAGCGTCATCTTGTGGCGCGCAGGCGGCAGACCAACGGCGTGCAGCATGTCCACAAGGATGGAGAGGAGGGAGCAAGCAGCATCAACAATAGCATAGGCAGTACCAACGATGGCAATCGTGATATCGTCGGCGTAAATGTCAATCGACCTGTCAATGTGCTGAGTGTGCCCAGACAACGAGTCAAACGGCGTAATCATCACACACTGCAAACAGAACATCGCCAGAGGACACCCAGGCAATATTCCCCGCGTAGCCCATATGGGGGCCGAGAAACACGCATCCCACGAGAGTCGACGAGCGGGCGCATACATACGAACAGCAAGCACCATGAGGGTAGGAGGAAAGTCATGCTGCACCGCCGATCCAAGTAGCCGTCTCCACGGCACACGGTCAAAACACTTTTCAATATCTATAATCGCATGCACCGTGATGGGGGAGTCCGCCACCTCGATAGAGGTCGATTCAGCTTGGACCAACAGTCTTGCGGCAACATCCGTCGTGCTCTTCTGGGCCCCAAGCGCCAGGAAGCCCCGATTCAACGAGCTAGCCCAAGACCGAGCCCAATTGAGACGTGCCTTACCCCAAATGCGATAGATAGACGGAAGTAATGCAATAGGACGATATCCCCCAGACGGCTTAATCAGAAGGACGATGTGCACGTGCTTGATTAGGGCAGGCCACTGGCCCCACGATTCACAAAGATGGAATAAATAGCCCAAAACTGCCAGAGCACCATTTGACGCAAGTACCCAATGCCGCGGTCGAAAAACATCTGCTCCGACCGCTGTGCCTCCCGCGAACTGTTTGGCAGCTCGACGAAGCTCACCGATCCTCAAAGGCGGCAGACGGGGGCCTTTCACAATCAGCTCTTGCAAATCCCCCAGATGATCATCACCAGAACTGTCCTGGACACTAGCCGCACAATGATCAGGCTCATGATCAACACCAGCCCAGATCGACCCCCAAGCGGCTCTCTGGGCCGTGGCAATATCATCAGGAAAGCTGCTAGGGCCTAACTCAGTTTCAACTTCAGCGAGCTGCCACCCACGCGGCTTGGTCCAGCGGTGAACGGGGCCTGACTTGCCGCGCAACGCCTTCCTCAGCCAGGATGAAAAAGCCTTAGATCTGGCAGACCCAAGTCTGCGCTCTTCAGTCTCAGCCGCTCGACCGCAGAAGTCACCAAGGAACTGCAGCATGTTGCAATAGTACACCGGTGGCTGTGCCGATATACACGTGATGATATGCACAAGGTCGTTCACTAGGTACTTAGGCATCGACATGCGAAGTCTACCATCCTTCCCATGCCCACCCATAAAATCGACTAAGTGCGCCCAAATACGTGTGCATAATATAGTGTTATTGCGCTGGTATGCGTGACACAGATCATGAATGCGCTGCTGTAATGTACGAAGTGCGCGTGATAAGCGCGTGCCACTCGGCTGCTGCCGTGCCAAAGCGCCTCCTGCAGTGCTGTACGCATACCGTGGGCCCTCCGCTCGGCCCGAAAACTTGGCAGGCTGTCCGCCTGTGTCAAAGAGTGGTAGCAACTCCGCCTCCACTCCCTTG